TTTCTTAAAAAATACCAAAGACATTATACCCCAAGTACTCGACAAGCCATAATGTCGATTACTGACCGCCCTTGTGAATTTTAGTACTAAGCTAATTTGAGTTTTTGATGTTTCGATTTTTTTTGCTATTTTTAGATAATTGTACCATAAAACTCGTTCATTTGTATTTTAACAACGAAGAATACCGGCATACTTCAGTTCCACTACAGAGAGTTGGTGCCACTATTGAATTTTCCGCGTTTTTTAATGATCTTACGTGCAAAACCGGCACATAACCCAACGTGTCTCTGATCGCAGCAGAGTACGTAATGGTGGTAAAAATCGCGAAGAAGACGGGAACTCCTTATAAAGTCGTAGAGATTGAATTACGATGATTTTTTTGATTTTAAAAAACTAGTAACTCAAATTTCTTTTAACTTACAATGGGACAGTTGAGACGATATTGTCAAAATAAATAACGCGTGTGGTTTCAAAGTAGAAAAAGGTGCTCCTGACACATTTTTCTATCAAACATCTTTTAGTGAAACTGACTACAGAAGCAGAAGCATTACGCAAAGGAAAATGCGAGTAGGCGCGAATTTTACATCTTTTGAAAATGTTAATGTAGACCGTGCTTATCGAGATGTTATACTAATTCCAAAGAAAAAGTTTAATATGCTAAAAAGTAATGCGATTAAAAAATGTCATAGTCATTTTTATGATAGCCTGAAATGTGCATTGAAAATAGTACCTGTTGCTTATTTTCCAAAGAAGGTCAGTTGTTTGTTGCTTTTAGTTTAGAATAGCTTAGCTTTTGTTTACGTGCCATCATAATTCTTGTTTCCTATAAATTTAAGAACAGTAGCTCTTTACCAACAACTATAGGTCCGTTGTTTTTTATTTTTCACGTGTTAAAAACTACTTATCTGATAATTGTTTCTTTTAATTTAGAAATAATACCTACTTCGACATGTATCAAAAACTATTTTGCAGTTATTGTTTACATGCCAAAGCTTATAAATGCACATTTTTACTTCCACTTTTTTTTTAAGTTACTACTATGTACCTATCTCACAAATGAACCTGTGAAATTGTGAAATTAATGTGTGCAAAAAAATCGATAACGGCCCAAAATTTAAAAACATTTAAAAAGGAACTTCAAAAAATATTTTTTATTCTAAATAGAGATTAATACAAATCAATATATAATTATAAACACATCACCATAAATTTTGTAATAAGCAGGAGAGTTGATATGAGTTATCCCAATATTTCAGTTTTTATTTTCCTAAATCACTGATTTTCTCGGAACTTTTATTTTGTGGATGTGCCACTATTGCACCCAGTGAACGATCTGCGATGACGTGGAACAACGCAAACTGAAAGCTTTAAAATTTCCAAGCGTGAAACGTGAATGGTTGAACCAAATCATGAAAAATCTGTTTTAAGTCCACAAACATGAAAACTTAACCGTTCATAAATATTTATTTATATTTTCTGAAGTTTTTGACTCAATTTATGAATGAATTGTTGTGTATCCGCTTCGTAAGGAAAGTGTCAAGTTTAAAATTTAATTGATTTTCGAAATTCACACTTTCTTTGAGAAATGTAAATTAGTTTAGAACTAGAATCTCAAAAAATAAATAAAAATAACAACGTGACCCTTCTGCGCTTTCGTACAATTCTCCGAGAGTAAGTAAACTTATTAATAGCCTATTGTTGAATTTTATATGCTGGATATTATCAAGGTTGTATTTGCACGCCTATATTTTTGAAATACGCCACAGCTAAGGCGCAACACGATTGCGATGGCAATTTCCGAAAAAGCACTCGCGTTTAATTTACATTAAAATGAAGCTTCTCCTTTGCTGGTAATATTGTCACCGTCCGCATTCTTTCGTTTCTTTCCATCCTACGGTCACGACTAGGTCGAACCATCGTTCCACCCACCCCCGTCCCGACCGTAATCTAATTAACAGCAGAACAAGTAATAATTTTCTCCGTACAACGCGGCCATAATTGGGTTCGTTAATCTGAGATTGCCCGCGGACAATCGCGCGGTATTTTCCACAACATAAGATACTTCTAATTAATGTTGCCGCCGGCCTATTGAACGTTGCCCGCCTGCCCGACCGTTTTTCCCGTGCCGCTACCCCCTTCGTCGTCGACGCCATTGCCTTTCGATAATCGTGGGTTCTTTTCCATTTTGGTGTACACGATGAACCGTGAAGGTTTTGTGTAGGTTTTAATTTCTTGAATGACGCTCAACTATCGGTTAAGTAGATTTCTCCTTCAAATTTTCCATATGGTAAAACAAATGTTTGAAGAACTCAATATAGAAGGTTCGTGGGTCTTGAATAATAAACTACTTTACTGTACTTGGGCGATCTATTATTAATAAAACTATGAAATATTTTTAGATGATACCTTCGTCGTAACAGTTTCGACATATATTCAACTAAGACCTAAAACAGTCAAAACACTTTGTAGATAGAAAATTAAATTATTATGTCTCAAATTGTGTCGTCTAGGTTTTTGACTGTAATTACTGAAATAATCTATCGACGGCAATAAAACTCCTGACCGGCAGGTTTTGTAGAAGAGAGCATCTGAGACGAACTTTTACGGAGTTTTAAAAATATATATAGAATAAATCAATTCAATTCAAAAATCTTCCACAGGCTACTGTAATGCTATTTACAAAACTTCTGGATTCATATACATACCATTCATATACTTACATATCGATTTCAAAACGTTTTCGGTTGTCTTCCGATACCTAATCGCCATTTTTCCCTATCGTTCCATAACTCATCGCCCGGTTGTCTTTCTGTCATCTCTGATTTTATTCCTTCTATCCAGCTTCGCCTAGGTTTTCCTCTCTTCCTTCTGTCGTGAGGAGCCCATCCTAGAATTTGTTTTTATAGTACTTCATTACCCATCATTTGTACATGGCCATACCATTGTTGTCGTGAGTTGTTTCGATTTTATATCATCTATAATGTTGTGCGTGACTCCATCGAATTATTTCCCGTATTCTTTTATATCTGATTTTTCAGCAACCCTTCTCCATCTCTGTCACCTTTAGCATTCTCCCATTCCTTTCTTTTTGCGACCACACTTCTACTATATATTACAACACTTTTAACAATCGTTTCGTAAATTTTTTGTTTGTTCTGTTTTGAGATATTCTGATCCCATAACTGTTTAGTGATGATATCGGATACATTTTTCGTCGATTGCTTTATCCAAGTTTCCGTCTTCTGCTACGTTTAAACCCAAATACTTATATTCTTTAATCTGTATAAGATGTGGTCCTGTTCGAAGACATAGGTCTTGTTGTGTGACTCCTATCTACATGTATTTTGTTTTACTAATGTTCACTTCCAGCCCCCATTCATTGTATTCTTCAATAACCTTTCGTGTAATGTATTCTATATCATCGTAGTCTTGGGCCAAGAAAGATTTACGCTGATGGTATATTCGAGCGCTTTCCTCTGCGGGACAGTATCGTATGCTTTCTTATGGTCTATAAATACCAGATGTAGTTTTTGATTAAAAGCTATTTCTTTTTCATTATATGCGTGAGACAATGTAGATGGTCTGTTCTAGATTTTCGGAAGCCAGAATGTTCTTCATCTTCTATGTGTCTGTAGTCTCCCTGTATTGTGCTTTTGATTATTTTTCCATACACTCCACTAATCGTACTCGTGACTGAGATTCCTCGGTAGTTGCCACATTCCGTTTTGTTACCTTTTTTTACCTATGGTTGAAATTAGAGAGAGAGAGAGAGAAACTATTATTTCGCCACTAAGACACCTTTTAAAGAGTTTAGTTAATAATGCATACAACTTTTCTGTACCATATTTTAATAGTCCTGATCCCTACTGCTTATTTCACTTCTTTATATTCTATTCCTAACGGAGAACCTATTGTAGAGTGGTCTTTTGTGTTCGGTTCTCATTATTTGCAAAGTCTTTACTATTTTCCGTTCATAGCTCCATAAAGTATTTCTCCCACTAATCAATTTATATTTTTATTTTATCTTGTCTCAATGGTTTAATAAATTTCCAACTCTCCGCATTTCTCGAGCCTCCAAGATAAGTATTTTTGATAACATTTTTTCTCCCATGTTTCCCATAATCAAATCACATTATCACAAATTATGAGTAATAACCTAAATAAATAAGTTTTCACTTCACTTCCACTCTCGAGTCGTTATTAATATTAATCACAATTGACGGTGACACGGCCAATAATTATATTGGTTTCATTTTCTTCATCTTTTGATATTCCTTCTGACTTAATTTCTCACTTGATGGGTATAATATTTGCTATTAAGGAGATGTCCTCGTCAAGTTTGTTTTCCATTATTAAACTAAGCATCGCAAAGATCACATTCTAAACGTACTTGCATCACTATTCACTAATTCAACGCAAAATTGTCATTGATCAAGACGCAATTTGAAGATTGACGTGTTATTACTGATTATTGAGATATCGAAGAAATAATAGACTTTTGTGTTCATTTTTGTTTTTTTTTAAGGTATATTTAACAATTACATCGTTCTTAGTTAAGTTATTGCGAATTTAATTGCATTTCTCAATATAGTTTCGTATTGCTTTGGATAATTCGGACTTTTTTCTAAAACGAAATTCTACTTTTCTTTCGGCATATTATTCTTTTTTGTCAAATAATCTATCTCAGTTTTTAAAGTTTAGTTATTGTATTATAGGTTGAAGGAGTTAACCTGAACACTGTGAAACGCATGAAGAAATTGAAAATGTACAAAACTATTTTTTTGCAATTGCAGTTTTATGTCACTAAAAACTGACCTTCATTTTATCTATTCTTTGTATATATATTGATTCCAAACTTGTTGTATAAACGGACAAACGGAAGCTAATAATAATAATAATAATAATAATAATAATAATAATAATAATAATAATAATAATAATAATAGTTTCTCTTGTGGCGGTTGAGATTTAATGTTATCCTATCTTTAATGGTCCCGCAGGATGTTCGGCAGTTCGGGAGCGTGCTCGGCCTGCGGCCAAACGATACCCGCCAGTGAATTGGTAATGCGCAGTGGCGGGGGTAGCGGCCCAGGGGCGCAGTCGACACCCGGCGCACCTCTACACGTATTCCACCTGAAATGTTTCATGTGCAGCAAGTGTCTGGCGCCGCTAGTACCTGGCGACCGATACTATATGCTTGCGGGTAGTCTGGTGTGCGAACAAGACTGGCACAAACTGCTCAAAAGTTCGGCGGCTGCGCCCACCGTACGCAAAGGCAAAGTCGGCAGGCCGCGCAGGAGTCGAGACTGAGCACTAGACGACGCGAACATCGAAACAGGTATAAATCCTTTAAATTCAATATTGCGTAGATATACATAGTATTGTTGAAACGACATAATATAATTTAATAAATGAATCTCATATTCGATTTACAAATTGCAAAAATACGCGTTATAACGGTTTTTGCCCGATATTCTCTAAAAATTGCTTGAAATTTTGTATGAAATGTTTGTCATCCTACTGGATCTTTCGGCAGAACGAAATCATGACGGCTATAAGCTAGACAATGCAACCCCGCGTTTAAGATGCTGAAATATGAAAAAAAAACTGTTTTTATACTAACACTACAAAGGATTCCCGATTAGTTTTTAACACGAGTATTGCTAATCCCATTAATTCAAATCCCAAAATTTTGGCACAAATTATGCAATATACAAACATTGCTAATTTTATAAATTCAAACCGCCAAACATACCCTAATCCACTACTAAGCAACAAATTTAAAGGTCATTAATATGTTAATAGTTAAATCAATACTAATCACAAGAAGTGACTTTCAGCATCATCGAAACAACAAAATCACTATCCGTTCAAGGACTCACTACTTTCAAAAAAGGGTTCACTAAAAAATTCTACACAAATTGATACGTTGCACGCGTCACCCCCTGACCGAGTTGCTTGCTACATTGCCGTAATTTTTCTGGAAAATGACTTAATTTTTATAAGAACACATCTTATCGATCTTTCGAGCTAAATAATTATTCTTGTCGTAGAACAGTCTGTGCCCTGTGCCATCGTTGTTTTCATTTTTGGTGTCAATATCTCCGTGCCGTACTCACAAACTTGTACGATTTGTGCTTTCAATACCTTGTTCTTTTTCGAAATTACATCACATGTGGCAAATATGAGGACTCAATAGGATCTTAAAGAAACAATGATGCCTATATATTTCCATTTAACAGACTGGAAGATAGACATACACAAGTATTTACAAGTGAATTTACTAAACAGAATTCCCTACATTTTTAGGTACACTTAAATAGTTACGAAGTATGTTTTAGTGTACAAGAATTACAGGAAATATAAGAAAGCAATTAAATTAAAATTTGAAATTAGAAATACGCCCTTGTCAATTACTGTCTATGGTGCTTCTGGAACATTTTGTCACTTAGATGTGCGATATCTAGCATTTAAAAGTTATTTCAATGGAGGTTAAACCTATGAGTTTATGAAAACTAATGCTTTGCACAACGTGTTGCGTACCCATATCAAAGCGTCAAATATACTCAATATCAAAGTCCAATCCATTATCACGAAGCTTTTCAAACATATTAAAGCAGCGCCCGCATATCTCTGACAAGCGGAGAAATTCCGCAACAAACTAAAGCTCTTACTCTAAGTGCTTTTAAAAAGCTCCCGCCATTAGAAACGTACCTTGACCTTTAACTGCAAATTGAACATTCTGGAAAGAATATTTTACCCTAAATAAGGTTACTTTAGGGTGTACGAACTGTTATGCGATAACATTATTAATTAATTAATTCAGATTCTTGTCAATAAACATTTATCATAGTTATACAATTCTTGCAAAAACTTTTTTTTGTAAAAATATTTGTAAACACTTCTTAAATCATTTTATACACGAAGTGGTGTATTTATGAAAAATTTAAATAAAAAATAGATAAAAAAACACAAAGACATCTAAGAACTTATTTTGTTCAACACAATGAAACCATTTGGATTGGTCTAAGAAACTCAATTATTAAATTTAGAGTTGCCGAACTTTGTGCCCTTCAAATTGGTGAAAATGCAAGGGTGCAGGGGATTTACTAATGATATTTCATTAAGTTTAAGAATATGTCAAAGTCATATATATATATATATATATATATATATATATATATATATATATATATATATATATATATATATATATATATATATATATAAATATTACCAATTCTTGTGCTAAAAATTTATTATAAAAATTGTTGTCCTTAACAATAATTTCAATATTAATTGATTTTTATTAATCAATCCCGGAATTTCTTAACTAATTATTTGTAAATTCTTAGTTTAGTTTTTAATTTTTTTATAAACCCATCATAATAGTCTGCAGGAAAGAATATCTATAATCAGTTACGAAGGTGCACATGAAACAGCCTTTTTTTCTGTAACTAAGAAAAATTCTACTTCTGTATATATGTAGAAGAAAGAAATTTCCCCAAAAATGCATAATTTACTTATTGCCACTGAAAGTACAATATTCTTGGAGAATGGCAGTTTGAAGAGTGCCTTCGCCCCCGGTGATTAGATATACTTTATACTGTTTCTAGTTTATATATATGCTGTCCCTTGACTGGTGAGTTTCGTGTTCGTTTATAAAAAATCAGAAAAAACTTTGGCAAAATCCTTGAAGAACTCCGTAGTTTCACTTGCTAATGTAGCCCAGACAAAAACGAAAAACCGGTCTAATGAAATTCCTTTTTTTTTCTAATATTTCTAGAGACACAAAATCGAGAAACTGGTTTAATCTTATAACGCGTTAAGACCAAGTTGTGAATCCAAATATATTGAAAAAACGAGGGATATGAAGGGCAACATTTTTTTTAATCACGCAACTCCGATCCCATCCCCCTTTTTCTGATTACTTCAATACCGCTGACAAATTAAAAAAGTGAAACCAACAACTTTTATGGTTTCAATTAAGAAAGTTCCCGTCCATTATGCGGTAGGTACGGGGCTAGGGTAATATAATTTACTAAATTAATTTTGGATTAAATTTAATCTCGTATAATTAAAGCATTGCCTCGCAAAGGACGGCCGTCGAGGCAAGGCCATTCTCCACTCTCTTTTGATTGAAAAAGCAATTACTTTCGGACATCAATGGAATTGTTTGGTGTAACTTTAATAAGTATTTTTTGCGGCGCGAGAGATGTGACAAAATTAGGGCCCCCGTGCAATAATTTTTGTTGACGGTTTTAAGTGCTTTTATGCTGCGTCAGTGAGAGGAAAAAATATGTAATAAAACGTTTTGGACATAAAATTATTTACAAAAGGATTGTTTAAAAATATTTACATTAAAAAGTTTCAATCACTCAATCAATCAATTTATTTATTTATTTGTATTCATGTTTTTCGTGTTCCATGTTTTCCCATAACCATATAGCTAGAGATATAAAGGCCTTGCCTATCTTGATGATTCAGAAAAATATGTAGCAACTATGATAACATTTTTGAGAAGGCCCATTCATCCTGCGCATGCGCGAGATTTAAATTCTACTTTTTTACGGCATTTTTTCCCAAATTCATCCAGATCGCATTAAAATTTCATGCAAAAAGAAGTTAAGTATGTGGCTGCAAAGTGCAGGTTAGTTGTGAAATTTTGAGACATGCTTGCAAGATTATGCCCATCTCTACGTAAATATCATAGCCCCCAAGGCGTATCAATTTCTATTGCAGTGGAGTCACTGTATTATCTACAACTAATAATATAACAAAGAAATTTTGTATCTTAGAAAATTGCAAACAAATATGCAATCTCAACAGCAGATGCACTCAAAATTTCTTATTTGATTTGATTTTGACTCATTTCGCGGAGCGCTGATGTTGAACATCAATATACTGGATTAATTACACAAAAACTCATTAAAACTTTAAGATGAGGAGGTAGAACAAGAAAAATGCAAGCATTGCTAATATGTTAGTTGTTGTGTTTATATTTATTTAGTGTTTTGAGTTGAGTTGAAAAATCGATTTAATGATTTCATTGATTAGTAACTTCTGCAAAATTCCAGAATTTCTAATAACCAAAACAAAGTACAAAAGTACATTGCCAATGACGAAATGACCGTAGTCGTTTGCTGGTTCAGCCGTCGACGCTAGTATTTCTCCTACATAACAACATGTTTCACGCAATTAAAAATAAATTATAATCACAATAATGCATTTTTTTTCTCACTGTGACTGATTTCGTGTTTTAGTCCTCGAGTGAATGACTCTAACAAACTGTGAATATCGCATGCTATATGATATAGTTTACTAAGGTCGAAGCATTAAAGATACTGTATAATTCTAGCTGTAGCTTTGTCGAAAGAGATGAGAGATTTATTCTCCTATCTGAATTAACCTACTAAATAAATTTCGCCACATGTCTTAGCGATAGTAGCTCGATCGTACCCTTACCACTGCTTAGTGTTATTTACTTTTCATAATATTGAATAATATTTTATACTGCAAAAACTTAAATTTTGTGTTCCTCGTATTAGTTCTGCGTGTATTCCCTACCTTCGTCGAAAACAAATATTAAAAATTTCTCAATGTGTTTTTTGTCTCAGCCAATGGATCAATAAAAAAGATGTTTCCTGCACTAAGCACATAAAAATGTTTCATTGTATCCTTTTTTTCTTTTTTTGATTTTGGAGCAGCATTGAAAAATTCCTATTAAATAATTTTTTCCATTTTTCTTTAAATTTAAACCTCGGTTTAAAGTTTTTCACTTTCAGTAATTCTACACAGATTTCCAGGACTCCAAATTAATTTAAAATTATACAAAAGTATTAAATGATCAAAGTCATTTTCATTCTTTCTGAACGTCTCTACGAGATCCCAAAGATCCAGAATTACCCCTTCGACCTATTGTCAGCACCATTGGTTCTCCAACATATTCTCTAGCCAAATATTTAGCTTCCTTACACGGAAAACTGATAATTTCGTACTTAATTCCTTTCACTTCATTGAACAATTAAAAAGAATTACATTAGATACAAAAGATATTCTAGTTATTTTCGACGTGGAATCCCATTTTACCAAAGTTCCTATTCCCGAAACTCTCAACATCATTTCAGATATATTAAAATCCGAGAATCTGGTACCAAACCTTCTCACCTTAATCGAAAAATGCTTGTCGGTCCAATTTTGAACAAACGTCGGGAACAGCTATGGGTTCCCCACTATCTCCGGTCATCGCGAATATATTTATGAAAGCCTTTGAGAAGAAAGCTCTCGACACCTTTTATTTTATTTATATTATTTTACCATTGAGTTGAAAACTAATAA